TCTCTTCCTCCCTCATGCTTAAATGAAAAGAAAGGTATGAAGTGACTAGGCTTGTAGATACAGTCAAAAGGATCGAGGTAAGGAGTGGGGGGGCATGAGATACACCAGTACAAATGCCTCCTGTCAAGAGACATAGTTTTTAACTTGCCTTGCAACATTTCCATTGGTCAACTTGGAAAGTAACAAGAAGCTGTACTACTTCTAAGAATTTAATTGTTTCATAAGAAAGAACTGGTTAGTGACAGAAGAGAGGCAAAACTTTCTCGCAAGACACCAGTGTCCTTTTAAAGAGAGAGTTCTGAATGGCTAAAGATGTCACAAATTTCTGAGCAAACAGAGGTTTAGAGCCCATACCCAGAGATTCAGATGAATGATCTGAAAAGGGATAGGAAACTATATATAGTTTTATATGTCTATATATAATAGAGAGCAAAACTTTTAATGAAAAGTAGCACAAGCTGCAATTATTGAAAAGGAGAAAAGCAAGAGAGAGAGGTGCAGAAGTAGGTAGGGACTAGATCACACAGAATCTTATATAGCAAGCACAGTGGACTTGACATTTATTTTAGTGCAATAGAAACCATTAAAATGTTTATACAAAAGTATCTTGAGACAAATGAAAATGGAAAAACAATGTATCAAAACTTAGGAGATGCAACTTTTAGGAGGAAAGTTTATAGTCACAAATGTATACATCAAGAATAAAGAAAGATCTCAAACAAACCTAATATTACACCTCAAGGAACCAAAAAAGAATAACAAACTAAGCTCAAAGTTAGCAGAAAGAAGGAAATAATATCAATTAGAAGTAAATGAAACATAGAACTGGAAAATGACAGAAAAAATTAATAAAACTAAGAGATGGTTCTTTGAAAAGATAAACCAAACTGACAAACCTTTAACCAAGAAAAAAGAGAGGTCTCAAATAAATAAAATTATAAATGAAAGAGGAGACATTCAACAAATACCATATAGATACAAAGAACCTTAAGAGGCTACTATGAACAATTACATGCCAACAAATTGGACAACCTAGAAGAAATGGATAAATTCCTAGAAACATACAAACTACCAAGACTGAACTGTGATAAACAGAACAGTAACAAGTAAGATTGAATCAATAATCAAAAACCTCCCCAAAAAGAAAAACCCAAAATTAGATGGTTTCACTGTTGAATTCTACCAAACATTTAGGGGAGAATTAACACCAATCCCTCTCACTCTTCCAAAACACTGAAGAAGAGGTAACACTTCCAAACTCATTTTATAAAGCCAAACTTACCCTGATACCAAAGCCAGATAAAGATACTACAAGAAAACTACAGATCAATATCCCTGATGAAAAAAGATGCCAAAATTCTCAAAAAATACTACCAAACTGAATTCAAAGACTTTTAGGATCATACACTGGGGTGCCTGGGTGGCTCAGTCAGTTGAGCGTCCCACTCTTGATTTTGGCTAAGGTCATGATCTCAGGGTGCTGGGATCAAGCCCTGCATCAGGCTCCATGCTCAGTGGGCAGTCTTGCTTCTGGATTCTCTCCCTCTCCTTCTGCCCCTCCCCCCACTCACACAATCAACCGCTCTCTCTCAAAATAAATAAATCTTAAAAAAAAAAAAAGGATCATACTCCATGATCAAGTGATATTATCCCTAAGATGCAAGGATGGTTTAACATGTGCAAATCAATAAAAATGATACATCACATTAACAGAATAAAAGATAAAAATATGACCATCTCAATAGATGCAAAAAGGCATTTGATGAAATTTAAAATCCTTTCATGATAAAAACTCGCAACTGGATTGGGTATAGAAGGAACGTACCTCAACATAGAAAAGGACATAAATGACAAGCCCACAGCTGACATCATACTCAATGGTGAAAGGTTGAGAGTTTTTCCTCTAAGATGAGGAACAGGACAAAGTTGCCCACTCTCACCACTCCTATTCGACATGGTAGTGGAAGCTAGAGCAATTATGCAAGGAAAAGAAATAAAAGACACCAGAATCAGAAAGAAGTAAAATTGTCTCTGTAGAGGACATGATCTTACATATAGAAAACTCTGAAGATGCCACCAAAAGAACTGTTAGAACTAATAAACTAATTCAATGAAGTTGCAGGATACAAGATAAACATACAAAATCAGTTGTGTTTCTTTATACTAACAACAAAGTATCTGAAAAAGAAATAAAACAATCCTATTCACAATAACATCAAAAACAATAAAATACTTAGGAAAAACTTAACCAAGGAGGTGAAAGATCTCATAAGATACTCATGAAAGAAAATTAAAGACACAAATAAATGGAAAAATACCCTATGTTCATAGATTGAAAGAATTTATGGTATTAAAATGTCCATACTACCCAAAGTAATCTATAGATTCAATGTAATCCCTATCAAAATTCCAATGGCATTTTTCACAGAAAAAGAAAAAAACAATCCTAAGATTTATACAGAACTACAAAGAGACTGCAAACAGCCAAAGCAATCTTCAGAAAGAAGAATAAACCTAGAAGCACTATAATTCCTGATTTCAAACCACTACAAAGCTATAGTAAATAGTATGGTACTTGCATAAAAATAGATACATAGACCAAAAAAACAGAACAGAGGAGCCCAGAAATAAAACCGTGCATATGCAGTCAACTAATATTTCACAAGGGAGCCAAGAATACTCAATAGGGAAAAGACAGTCTTTTCAATAAATGGTGTTGGCAAAATAGGATATTCACATGCAAAATAAATCTGAACCCTATCTTATACCACTCACAAAAAGTAACTCAAAATGGATTAAAGATCTAACTCTAAAACCTGAAGCCATAAAAAATCCTAAAAGAAAACATAAGGCAAAAGTTCTTTGACATTGGTCTTAGCAATGATTTCTTGGGATTATTCCAGAATAATAGGACCATGATAGTGAGGGATTGGAGAATGAGATCTAATCCTCCTATTAAATGCTCTTAAAAGCACCCTCTACTTTTGCTTCACTGCACTTAACATTTTGTATATAGACTATATGTATACATGCATACATACAATATATGTATATGTGTATATTTAGTACATATACTATGTACATGTATATAAAACACAGAGCTATTGCCTATCTCCTCCACTAGTTTACAAATTCTATAAGGACCAGGATGGCGTCTGGCTCACCAATGTATCACTGGTACTTAGCACAGTACCTTTCACCTTATTAGTATTCCTACTGGTACTCAAAAATTATTTCCCAGGGGCTCATGGGTGGCTCAGCCGGTAGAGTGGCTGAATTGGTTTTGGCTCAGGTCATGGTCTCGCGGTCCTGGGACTGGGCCCCGTGTCGGGAAGTCTGCTTGAGGATTCTCTCCTCCTGTCCCTCCCTACCCCTCTAAAATAAATAAATAAATCTTAGAAAAAAATTATTTCCTGGATGAATGAATAAATGAATGTGCATTACATGGGAAATTTGTGAAGACAAGGATGTTTAGCCCTAGGGAGACATGATGGATGACTTCAAATAACTGAGTGACTGCCCCATAGAAAAGAAAGTACACTAATTGGATAAGGTTCCAGACTGCAGAGGTAAGACCACTAGGTAGAGGCAGACTCCAACTCTAGGTAAGAAAGAACTTGTGTTAGCTGAACCTGTATGGCAAATGTAGGAGTTGGCTTTCCAAAGCAGTGAGCCCTCCATCACTACAAAAGAAGGGAGTCTGGCTGTTCTATGGGAAGGACCCTACAGTAGGCAGTGTACAACTACAATCCCTTCCAATATGAGACTATGCTTTCTGTTACTTTCCATTCTTTTTTTTTTTTTTTTAAGATTTTATTTATTTATTTGAGAGAGAGCAAGTGAGCACAAACGGGGTGGGGCAGCGGGAGAGGGAGAAGCAGAGTCCCCACTGAGCAGGGAGCCCAACACTGGGCTCAATCCCAGGACTCCAGGATCATGACTGAGCCAAAAGCCAAAGGCAGACACTTAACCGACTGAGCCACGCAGGCGCCCCTGTTACTTTCCATTCTTACATGTCAGTCAATAAGACTTCAAAGGCACAAATTTTAGGAGGGGCTTATGAACAAAACATCCATTTCGGTCAGATGACTGAAATAACCATGGACAATTTTCTTCTCTTAATAATCAGAGACTCAAAGTATGCTAATGTGATCACTTAATAGCCAAGCAAAGTAGAAATGTTTAAATCCCTTTTTAGCAAACTAGCAGAATCATCAGAGTCTTGTGTATAAAACAAGAACATTTTACAGATAAAATGGCTGTGAAAATACCATCTCCCTCATCATCCTCCTCCTTCAGGGACTTATCAGTTCCATCAAAGAAACTCACTGACAACAGTGGTTTTAACCTGCCCAAGTCTGGACTCACAGAGCACAGCTCTTCTAAATTTTTTCCAGGTTAGCTGGGCATCATGTGTAAAATCATCTTTTCACTCAAAAGCATCATCAATCACACGAATTGTTTTTATTAAAAGCACAAGAAAAAAAGCATAATCTCTCCATTCAAGGGTTTGTGTTACGGTGAGGTGCTAGCCTATCTAAAAATATACAGAAAATCTCAATTCCTTAGGCTTCAAAGTCTTTAGAGTAAAATTAAGCATTTTTCTGGTATATTCCCTCCTCACTCTTTAGCAGAGGTAAGATGTGCCTGTGGCCTCTCAAAGCCCAAACAATCTGTCATTCATCAAAGAAGTGGTAAGACCTCAAAGGTCTGGGGCCTTGGAGGAAAGGTAAAAGACCTTGAAGTAGATACGGAATCCAGAAATAGACTCCCATACTGGTTGAAATCCCTTTGACAGTTACCCGTTTCTTCAAGTGAGAGATGTTAAGTCCTTCCCAGAGAACAGTCCATGATCCTAATCAGCAGCCTCCTGCAAAGGAGCCATCACAGTGGCCCTGTGCAGCTTCATGCTAATGAGCCCCGCCCTCTGCTCGAACATCATCTGTGCCGCATTTACCTTCTAGAGAGGAGAAAGGAAGGTTGTCCAGGGCTGGCCTTACCTGTTTTTCCTGCTCCGCTCTCCCCAGTAATGAGAATACATTGGTCCTTATCTTGATCTCTCAGGGATCTGTATGCTTCATCTGACAGGGCGAAGCTGCAGGGGATAATGGGAGAAAAGTCCTTAAAATTCAGCTCATTATCATGTGTTTATCAGATGCAACCACAGGCTCTTTAAAGGACACTGATATGCTTTAGATAGGAAGCTGAGACATCAGATTTTATTTCCTTCAAATTCTTAAAGGAAAAAATAAACCCAACTATCATTGTGGCCCATGTTACCTTTTCCTTCGAATTCTCTAGTAAACAAAATGGTACCAATTTACTGTACTCTTTAGATTTGCTTTATTTAACCCACATGTGATACTTAAGGTTCACTGTATTAAAATCTGGACAATTCAGAGAACCAAGGAGAAAATGTCACATCACATGCCCAAAACTGGACGGTGTAGAGGTTTTCAGAACAATACACTCGTTTCAAAACAACAAGAAAAAATTTTTTTCGAACATTAGAAAAACGTTATCAAATACCAAATAACTGGTATTAGCATCATTAAGCTAAAGACAGAACTACTGCCTTCCCAGACACATAAGTGAAGCTAACCACCCACCAGAGGCCAGAGGTATCACGCGTCTGCCAGGGGTCTTGTCCAGTCCCAGGCCCTCAAGCTCCTCACTGGGCCCTGTGATGACAAAGGGCCCCCTATCGAGGACCAAGTCAGTCCTCAGGTTGATCTTCCCTGCCTCGAAATCTACAAACAAGGTAAAATGTGCCCCCTCTAGCTAACTGAAAAATAATTTTGACAATATGGTACTGTGTTTAAAATAGGTAAAGTCCCTCTTCTAATTCATTTATCAACGAGTACTTATCGAGAATCTACCTTGTGTAAAGAACATGCTGGAAGTGTAAAGATAAGTTAGACTCAACCGTGTCTCAGGAATTCTCAGTCAAAGGCAGGGGAGAGAGAGAGAAACAGAAAACAGCAACCCAGCAAGTTAAAAGCAATGAGAAAGATATGTGCAAACGTTGCAGAACAAGACAGAGGCCTCAGGGGATGGGGAATGGAGCTGCACAATCTTCAGGGGTAGAAAAACCAGTCCTCAAGAATATAGTAGCAAGACTAAGGGCTTTTAGGGAACAAAGCAAAAGACAAAATAACCTAGGCGGGGTGGGGGAGGGGGGTTATGAGCAGTTCTTGCTACTGGAAGGCAAAGCCTAAGGAAGGGACAGATGAGTGACAAGGTAGAGAGAGAGATGGGCAGACTCCAAATTAGAACAGAGATGATAGGGAGCTACACTCCAGGACTGTAAGCAGGAGAGTGGCAGGACTGGATAAGAAGTAGATAGTAATGAGAGCTAAAAATAGCAACATTTACCAGCACTGTCCCAAGCCCTTCCTCTTTAATCATTTTAAATCTCACAACAAAACTACTAAGAATAAATTATTACTAATCCCACTCCAGATGATGAAACTGTGGCATGGAAGACGTGACATACCAAGGTCACACGGCCAGTGGGACACAGTGGAGCCAGATCTGAGCCCTGCTCCTGACCACCCGGATATACCGCCTCTGCATTTGGGACCAGGCCACAAGAGTGCACAGGAGACCAATCTGGAGACCAGGAGGCCAGTGAAGGGCTAGGCTCCAGGGAGGGTTTAAATTTGGCTAACCAAACCACAGACAGCCTTTCAATCAATGACTTTGGCTTTTCTTGAGAAAGTGTGTCATACCATTAATACTGACAATTTACTGAGCACCTTCGATGTGCCAGGATGAGGCGCTCGCATATTCACAATCAGATTTGACCCTTAAAACCGTTCTATGAAGTAAGTGTTAGCCTCCTTAAAGAAAAATGATCCAACTCAGACTGAGACGTGACTTGATGCGTCTGTGATTCCTTTCCCAGGAAAGTTGTAACTTGCGCCCAGAAATACCACGTACCACATTCTTCCCCTCTTGTCACATCCTCCTAGGACTATTTGTGATCTTATCTTCCGGCTGGACTACTGCGGGGCCCTCAAAGAGCCACCACGAGCCTTATTCTTAAACCATGATTTCAATGAATCCAGTGCCTTGCCCATAAGTATACTCTAAATGCATTTGCCGAATCAATGTATGAATAAGAAAAAAGAGTGGAAATATCTGGCACAAGGGACTTTTTTTGAGTAGCAGGTGGCTTTAGCCTGTTTCTGTGACCAGTGCATGGTGATCTCCTTCTGCCCAGCAAGGTCTTACTCACCCCTCAAATCCCTCTCAGCCATTCCCTATCTAACCAGCACCTTGCTCACCCCCCAAGACCAATCAGCATCCTTCTCTCATGTTCTCTGATGCCCCCAGGTGAAAACAGGCATGCTCCCGTGTGCACCACGCATACCAGAGAAAGTGAAAAACACAGTGACTGTGGGAGGAGAAGACACCCTGGGTAGGATTCTCTAGGCCCCAGACCCACAGCTTACCACCTGCCTGACCTTGAGCAAGTCCCTCACCCTGGCCAAACAGCAGTTTCTTCACGTACAAATTGGAGAATGGAGCCACATACTTTAGCTGAGAAGGCTATATAAAAGCTCTTTAAGTGTTGTAAAGTCCTAAATAAACGTGTGAAATCTTTGTGTTACAATTAGTTATGTACACATCTTCTTATCCCTTACCAGAAGGTAAGCTCCTCTAGGGCACAGCCTTTCTGTCTAATTCATCTCTGTGCCATCCTGCACAGTTATAAACATAAGACACCGCCAATATCAAAATACGAAAGAATGAACGAGTGAATTCTCGCCAAGTATTGACAAAGTCACTACTGGAGTGAGCCCCACAGAATGGTAATCAGGAAATTCATTTCTTCTCATTTTCTTCCTGCAAGAAAGAAAAGCAGTGCTTCCATTTCTTATCAGTCTCCCTTCCCCCTCCTGTTCCTCGCACCTCCAGACAACAGTGCAGAGATGACACTGTCATTATCCTCATTGGCAAGAAATGCAGGAAAACACATCACGGCAACTACAAGTGAACTTTTCCAAATCCATATGCACTGACTTCATGGGTTAACATACACCTCTCCTGTGCTCCTAAGACTGCAAGTTAGTTTTATATACTATACCATTCACAGATCCCAAATGATGCAAAATTACTGCTAACATGAATAACGATATAGGATTGTGTGTGTGCATGTGCATGCCGCACACGCGCACTCTCTCTCACACACACACACACACACACGAAGCTTTAGAAGATCACCAAGGGACCCTGCCATGCGTTTCTTTCACATCAAAACACTTAAGTTAAACACTTAGGTTTTTTTTCTTGCCTGTCCAGACAGAAATACTTAACTGCTGTCCCCCAGACTGGGCTTGATTCATCTAACAGAGTATATTTTCATATAAGATAAGGGTGAAAAGGGATAGTTATTCTTTCAAGATTCTAGACAGCCACTGAGTTCAAAGTGCCTCGAAAATACACCAACTGAGGTACATAAGTATGGGAAAAACTGGCTTAGGCCTCTGACACGCCCATCCCCAGCACAGTACACCTGTGATCATACACTTATGACGTATAAACTCAGATCGTGACTTGACTTATTTAAAACGATGACCAAGCGGGGCAGGCCATCAAGGACACAAGCCCTGCTCCCGGTCTCGTTCTTTTTCTCTCTGGCAACATCAGCATGGACCCAGCACCAAGGCCAACATTTATAACTATAAACTGAAACCACACGCCAGTCCTCCAAACCACTCTGTAATTAAGGAACCTAAATAAATCTTTAGAGAAGTTTTTACTTCAAAACACTTGCGATCCATATGCTTCACATTATTTTGTGAGCATGTCAGCATTGTTAGTCACCACAGGCAGAAATAAACGGTTTATTCTGATGCAAGGACGACAGCGTCAGGTCCCAGCATGGGTTTTATGCCCCGCCACATCAAGGGCGCGGTTTCATCCACATCTTCTGTCCTCTAGTTGAGCTCTAAGAATAGAGACGGCCTGACACTTGAAAGCCAGTCTCCCCTTCATTTCCAGGTCAGCTACACGGCTGTTCTGTTCGTGGAGAGCCAAACTTTCCCCAACACCAAGGATGCTCACTGCACATTCCCAAACGGCTCTATCTACCGCTTTTCGGTTTTAGGACTTTGGTTTAGGGCTCATCTGTTATTTCCCATCAGGGCGGAATGTTGGGTTGCGTGTTCAAAATTATCTAGTCAGTATTTGCGTTCCTCCCCCATCGTCTTTCTGTTCAGAATGTTAATCTCCAGTTCTGCTTTCACAGTCATCAAAGGTGATGGCAGGGCTTCTTTGCCCAAAACTCCATGCTCTCCACCCTGCAGTCTCTAAGTTTATTTCATCTACAATGCAAAGCAGGAAAGACGTCACAGCAAAAACATCACCGCCACCACCTAAAGCTTATGTGCTTCCCAGCAGACCTCTAGTTTGCACTCTCTCTCCATCTCCCATAATGAGTTGCTTGAGATCTTTCCCTACAGCAGGCTAATCCATTTTAGTCAGTCATCTCCCATGAGCCAAAGTTTAACAGAACAAAATTTGTCTCAGGAAACTTTCCTGAATTTAGGTAACTGTTTCTACTGATTTGTTTCATGACATTTTCTTCAAAAGCTCTCAAAATGGTATTGCCTTTCATTCAATCCGGAATTCTAGAATATTTTTGAATCACACTAGGAAAATTCTGCTTCTGACTTTAATCCTCTTAGGATAGCCAGTCTCAAAATTCTCATCTACAATTGAGATCTACAAACCTCCACTATTGCTTTTCTTTCTAGCTCTGGCTCAGCCCTAAAAACTAGGTTTTCCTAAAATTATGTAACACACACACACACACAAAAAGTGTTTTTAAAAAATTCCTAAACTCCAAGTGTTCCACCAATTTCTAAGTTCATCTGAACCTGATCAAGGGCTGAGAGAGTCCACAAGAAGGACAGAGAAGAGAAGGAAAAGGAGAAAGGGAATTATGTGTGGTGTGTTTTGCACGGAAACCATGAGGATTGTTTATTTGCCTGCTTATTTTTGAGGAGAGGCAAAATGTTGGCCTTTCTTGTAAAACACTATTGCAGTTATCTGTACATCAATCATTGCCTCATATTCCTAAGTCAG